GTATATATTATAGATGGTGATCTAAGGTCGATCTATTGTTTTTGTTATTATTTGTTTTTTCCTTTTTTCCATCTTTTTGTGAACAGTTTAGGTTCTTCTATATTATTTTAAATAAAGAAAGTACGGAACCTAACAAGTACATTCTCACGCACACGCACACTCACAAAGATCTAAGTGAATTATCGATCAAATAGAAGTAGGGTTACTTTTGTGTGCAATGATATTTGAACACAATAATGAGAAGCTCTATAGATATCAGTCAAGTACCGTTACGTTTGACACCCTAGAATTGTATATTAAGATAACGAAGCATTCAGTTTTGAAAGATCGCCGACTTTTTACAGAGCGATTAGGCATTTTTTCTGTTTTGTTGATAGAGCAGACTGCATCATTCATGACATTATTTGCAGTTTTTCATCTTTACTCAGATAATAGCATAGAGAAATCAATGATTCACAAATCAGCCAAAGTGCCTAAATCCCACTTTTACAGCTCCTATCGTAAAGAGTGTAGTATATCAGAATCAGCAGATCTCAATTTTGCGATTTCAATTAGATAGACGCCGTCGATACTAGAACAAACATGGTTAAAAGGAAGAGTTATGGATGCAGTTCAAACTATGCGAATCTTGAGGGTCATCAACCTCGTATCAGCTAAATGCTTCATTAAAATTTATTGAAAAGAACGGAAACTATCAGTAAATTATTTACACGTACATGCAGAACAACATTGTACATTTCTTACATTCATAGGTGACTTTCAAGCATTAAATCACATAATGTGGCGATGTTATTTCTACAGCTGCTATCTTTTTTTTGGTCTGCTGTTTGTCGTTTAGACGTCGTTTGTCCGTAGTAGCATTTCGGTCAAAAACCTTGGCAGCTTTTGCGTAAATGATACGTCGCGAGGTGACCCAAACATGTTCCCAATCGCCGATGGTCCTTCGCGACTTATCCGTACCGTGCCTAATGGATTACTCTATCAAGTTGGTGTCGGTGAATATCAATCATGGCTTATTCATGTCTGGGGTATGAATGGATATGACTACGGATTTGCCTATGGAACATTATTGAGTGAACAAATCAGGCAATTTTTCCCTAAAGCATATGCTTACTTAGAGCAAGAAGTAATGGATCATCTGGATCATCTTAAATTGCCCAAATGGTTAAAACAGTTAATTGCCGATGAAGGTCTTGCGTTTGCTTTGGATATGCAAAATTCACTAGCCCAATCATATGTCGACCCAGAGATTTACCGTGAGCTTAGTGGTATAGCTGATGCTACCAAAATCGATTACGACCTCTTACTACGTTTGCACACGTTCGGTGAACTGACTCGAGGTAATACATTAATTAAGGCCTTTCCTCCCACTGAATAGAAACACATATAGGTCACTGTTCCTTGTACGGTCTCTGGGGCAAGGCAACACTCGGTGGCAAGACTCTTCAAATGCGTGCCTTTGATTGGGACATAGATGCTGGTCTTCAAGACTATCCCGTAATCACTATCTATCATCCACGCTCACCGACACTTGGTCATACCTTCACCAATATTGCCTGGGCAGGTCATTTCTTCATCATGCTATCCCAAGAGAAATGATAGTTTCTCCCTTAGGCTACATTGGCGTACTGACTGGTATGTCTTCAACAATGATGGGCATCGGATCAATCGGTATCCTCTTTCCTGACAATACGTTCGGTGATGAAAGCATGATGAGTCTACCGTTTATTTTTCTTCAAAGATATCTTATGCAATATGCTGAGACGCTCGACGATGCTCTTACCTACATTGCCAATATTCGTCGAACATGTCACTTGATTTTGGGCACTAGTGATGGCAAACTGGGCATAGGTCGCATAATTCAATATTCACATTCACTTGTCCATTTCTTCGACGATATCAATTTGCAACCATTAGCTGATTGACATCCACTCCTTGACAATGTCGTCTATGAAGGTATGGACTGGACCTGTCCCGCATTTCAGTCTAAACTTTACGAACAGATCCAAGCTCAGTACGGTCAGATCACACCAGAAACGACTATTCAAAGTATTACAGCAGTGGTCAAAACCGGCGATGTTCAAGTGGCCGTGTACGACCTCACGGATAATGTGTTGTATGTTGCCAATGCCCGTGGTGTAGACGAACACGGACCTAAACCAGCGTATCAAAGGCAATTTATCAAGGTCGATCTTAACGTAGAATATACTTGAGTGTTACCGACGATTTAATAGATTTCTATAGAAACCACATTGACATTTTCGAAATTCTGCTGACCGCACTTGACTATGTTTAGATCCAAAGAGAAACTATAGACAAAGTTGAAGCTCTAAACAGAAAAAAAAACATTTTCTGTTCCAATAGCGGAAGTACAGTTGTTGTGAGTATATTATGTGGATAGGGAAGCATTTCCAGAGTCAAATGGAGTGGAGGTTGTTTTAGTTTTTTCTGCATGCTTTTCATTGTGTATTGAGGGGTATGTTTTTATGACCGAATTCGGATTGATTAGACACAGATCGGTGGAATTTTTAGTGTTGCATCGGTTCTGGAATATTCAGGGTAGATATATTCAATGTAGCAATATTTTCGGTAATGTCTGATATTTTTTTCTATTTTCTGATTGCTTGCGTGTTCTTGATATGTTAGTTTGACTGAATCAACATTTTCATTGGAATTGTTATGTATGCGAATGTATAGATGATGTATGGACAGCTAGAAAGTAGGATTTATTTTCGGTTTAGGGTTTTGGTAACTTGGCCTAGAATTTCAGAAGTTGTATTTAATGGAAGTAGTTTAAACGAGATTTTTTAGTGCTTTCATATAATCAGTTTGTATGTTGTGCAAGGGAGAAACAGCAAACTTGAAGTCGAAAAGTACATAAAAGTATTAAAGTTACTTCAAGTTACTTCAAGTTGATCAAAGTATACATTGAAGTAGCACCAAGTACATTTGAAGTACGGAGAAATAGTTCCGAGTACATATAAAGTACCATAAAGCCCCTCGAAGTATCTTTAAAATTATTAAGAAGTAATTGCAAGTGCTTCCAAAGTTCCATGAAGTAACTTCAAATGCCTGTAAAGTATCATGAAGTGAATCTAAATATGTCTGAAGCATCGCAAAGTACGTCAAAGTAGTTGAAGTACCCCACGAAAGATTGAAAGGTCACTATAAGAAACAAAGCAAAGGCCACCAAATCTAAAAGAGTACGTCATGATTGTCTTAACCAACGGAAAGCCTCCAGTGAAAAAGAAATAAACCAAAGAACATAGCATATTTATCAATCTTTATTACTTGCCTGCTGCATGGCAAAAGATAAAAAATCACTCGCCAACTCTGTTTCTTTTATTCTACAACAAATATCAAGTAGACTTTTTTAAAAATACATGACTTTTCTATCCAATTGATCTTGAGATACGAAATTATCAACATCATACTAACATCTTCAACTATTTTTGCTGTATCGACGTCAGATTTCGTTCAAGTTGATATTTTTACGTCACAACTGTAGCCATTATTTAAAAAGTCTTATAATATTCTGTCATTAAGTAGTAATACAGCATAAATTCTCAACTTTTTTTACCATAATTCGTCAGCTCGTTTTACGGGCCGTTTTTTCGATAGAAAACGACCATTGTTTTTCACATTATCTTCAAATTGGGATACAAGTCTAGAAAAAATTGTGCTGTTTTTCCACATTTTATACCAACTTTATTTCATTGACGATTGCTTACGCCCACTTTTAATTGCCTTTCAAGTCATTATTTGATTCAAAATCTTTTGTCTTCTCACTTCTGACTCATCAGAAAAGTAGAAAAACTTAAAACTCTTACTTAAAATATTAAATTCTAATTCATTCAATGCTTCTGAATGTTTAACGATTTTCATTGCTTGACCGTAAGCAATGGATAATATCTGAGTGATATCTAATTTATCAAATTACCTTTAATCTATCTGACAATATAACTAGTGAATCACGACTTTATGTTTGTGATATGTGGGAAACGATTGGAAATCCTTCCCCATATGAACACCGAACGTAAAAATCGTGCGGTCAGACACGCTTCTCTTACCAATCACATCTTGATGTGTTTCGTTTGGAATATGTGTATCCTCCAAAAGCATCTTTTTTGTGTTGGTACCCGATTTTAGTTAGAACCACATATAGGGATGTTTGAGAGCTCCGACTAAGCCACAAATGAAACTCGATCCGGGAACCTGTTGATACCAAAACTATTTGCATGACTTGTTTTGTATTTGCCAAAAAAAATATACAATCGTTCCCTATAAAATCACACTAGTTTGAAAAACGGCAAGTCTTTCATAATTTTGAAGCTCTTTATCACGAAAGAGAGAATGAACGCATTTCTTAATAAACTATAGAATAGACAGAGCAATTGTGAAAGATCGGTACTGTAAAATTGGAAACGATGAAATTTTAGAAAAAATATGAACGAATCGATTTCGAAACGAATAGTTTGAATAATTAAAAGCTTTTGAAACTGTCATCCAATTTGTTTAATGCAACTATTTTGATCAGTAAATGTATTGATGTATAAAGGAATAATTAAAATAATATATCTTCATAGCTTTGTTAGACACATGTATTTGTAAATAATTTTCTAACAAGCAATCTGTATATAGTTTCTGTTTCTTTTCATAACTAGTGTGATCTCATGTAGCTCATCGATATGTTTAGTTGCTTTGTATCACAGAGTTCTTCTCTTCTGATGTCATTGCTGTTGTTTCAAAAGCATCAAAATTTTAAATTTCCGTTAGTCTATAATTAAGTAAAACTCATAAGTAGACACGATTTCAATCGCCGCTCAGATCAAACCTGAGACGAATTGAAATATATTTTTGAAATTTCAAATATCAAGACAACCGCGTCTATAGGCACGACGTTAGTTTGAATTGCGTCGGAGCCCAAGTTTTTCGACAACTGCCTATCAACGAGACTAAATGTTGAATCGTGTCTGGATCCAGTCAATGTTTCGCCTAAACTGTGTCTATGCGCACTCGAGTGTTGCGATTTAGACACAAACCAAGCACGACTCAGATGCATTTTAATTCGAAAAAGACTTGTATGAAATCATTTGATGTTGATGTAACAAGCGAGTTCTAGTTCTAAGAGTAGTCTGAATTATTAACGAAATTCGTAAAACAGCTGTCTAATTTAGTGTAATAATTGTCCTATTCTATTTTTGTACATGGTTTTTGCTGACTTCATCAACTGCATAGCATAAACTCTTTTATTAATGGCAATACTATTTGTCTCTATTTCCTTGGGATATCAATAGGATCATGAAAAAATCCAGAAAAGCTCCCAGTAAAAAAGTTCTAATCAATAATCGGATTTTGAGCAACAACATCCAATTACTAATCGGGAATTTTTCACTGGACTACTTCCTACCAAGAAAAGAGGGCTTCGGTATTTTGATATATCCTATTTCGAGTGCATATTAATGCTTGTGTAATTGAAAATAGTATTGTGACACAAAGTACAAAGTACTTTCAGCGCTCATCGTTTCTATTTGGTTTCATGCATTGCATCGAAACATGTTTAGTACCATAGAAGCTATCTGTCTAGCTCATCTATAAACATGTCTTGACGAATAAAGAATTGATGTTTTAGGAACAGTATTTGGCAATGACCCTCATTCAACATACGAAGAAATAGAAAATAGTTCGAGTAATTAGTTAGTTGGCCAGCAACCAACTCAGTTACATATTAATGTTTTAAGTACAGTGAAGTTTGCGCTCGATGAGTGTCATATTAGACAATCAATGGTTAGAAAGAGTGACGTATCCAATTTCCTTCATGTAATCTGGTTTAATCAAGCCAGTATTATCAGAAAATGCGGCAGCGTTAAATACAAGCTGTTAGGTCATCAGCTATCTATCATAAGTCTTCAAAACTGTCACAAAACGAAAGCAAAGAAAGGATCTTCCAAGTCTCATGCTTCACGATAATAACTCAAGGGCACGTCCAGTTTGGATTATCAACGAACGTTTTCGCCGAAAATCATATATGACTATATACGAATCCGTCAGTTTCGCGAGATCTATCTCTTGAATATTTATTTCTACTGGTTTCGAAAACTGAAAAAGCATCTGTACGAAATTCAACTGGATAACTATTGTGCAATGCTAATTGCTTTGGAAGAAGGATATCTTTGATCTCATAAATGGATTGATATTGAGGGACGCATGCTTTAAAAAAAGTAGATTAGTACTAGCTTTCAATATGGACCCAAGGATTAACCAAAAACCTTGCCGTATCTAACTAAATCCCTCATTGTTGCCGAATTAAGTATAAAACTTAGTGAACACCCTTTATAGGTCTGCAAAAATTGAAACGAATAAACTCATAGGAATACT